ACAAATTGATTAAAAACCTACTACTGTGAGGTAGGAATAAGGACTTATCACACCAGTGATAATAAGCACAAACACTCAAAATATCAATGGGATACATTTAATAAAACGAGAATGGGTGTACATTACAAACTATTAAATTAATAATTGACATGAAATAACCAAAATAACCAAAATGCATTTCGGACTATTGGAATAGTCCCTCTTCAGTTGGTATACATATATAAAAAGGTGAGATACTTAAAATTATACAAGACAAAGGAACCGTTATAAAGGTATGATTATTGAGCAATAAATGGGTGTAGAGGAGACAGGCTTAAGGTGGCTTCATTATGTTACATGGTAGCTTGACATAAGGGTTACTATTATAAACAGTATTAAAATTAGCAGAATAATAAGGTAATTGTTTTACAAATAAGTTATATCTACATACCATAACAGTAGTAAGATGGAGTTTGAAGGTGGTATTGCTACAAGATGCAGAGCAGTTATGAAGGAGGTGTGTTACAGGCAACATGCATTTTGGTTATTTCATGTCAATTGTTAATTTAATTGTTTTTAATGTACACCCCTTCTTGTTTTATTAAATGTATTCAATTGATACCTGGGTGTTTGTGCTTATTATTACTGGTGTGATAAGGCCTTATTCCTACCTCACATTAGTAGGTTTTTAATTAATTTAATTAAACCAAGGGCAAAAAGCAATGTTTTATATTAATGATCAGTTATCCGAACAACCCCAATCCTGAATTGTTTTGGATAATCAATGCTCTACTGTATATATTATTTTATTTTCTTAGGGAAGATAAATTTACATTAAATTATTATTTTTTATATAATTCATTCTTATACTTGTATTAAAAAGTATATTATTCTTTTCAGATATTGATGAATGTACTCTTGGAAGTGATAATTGTAACAGACAAACTCAGATTTGTTCAAATACAATTGGTTCATATACTTGTATCCCACACACATTTGAAAATTGTCCAGTAGGATTTCGTAAAGATTTAAATTCTGCAGGCTGCTTAGGTAAGAAATATGAAATTAATGTCATTTATGGATATATTATTTTTATTAAATTATAATTTAAATAACAAAATTTGTAGATATTGATGAATGTGCAGAAGGATTAGATGCTTGTAATCGTAATGAGGAAATATGTGTTAATACATATGGAAAGTATCAGTGTGAACCAAAGAAAACTCAGAATTGTCCAGCTGGATTTAAGTTCAATGATAATAAAGAATGTGAAGGTATTCAATGGTCATTATATGAATTGCTAAATCAGTTTTATCAGAAATTTTGAAATTACAATTTAATTAATATTTCAATCTAGCTGTAGTTGTTTTGTATTGTTTTTGTTTGTTAATAACAAGTTCATATTTAGTTTAATGTCTATTTATGTGCTGTTATTTTGTAGTATCAGTGTTTTTGTAATGTTTATAAATCTAAGTAAATATAGTACATACAGTCTGCAGTGTTGTCCTTTTTTGTAAAAATTATAAAAAGATGTAGATGAATGCCTTGAAAACATTCATGGATGTGATGATACAACAGAAAGTTGTCAAAACACAATTGGTGGATATAAATGTAATATAAAATGCAATGAAGGATATGTCTTCAATCCTGCACTGGCCAGATGTGATGGTAAGTGTATTATAATTATTTTTTTAATAATAAGTTTAACATATTTATTTAATTTTGTTCAATTTCTGTATATTGTTACTTTGTATACAAATGCTACATAAATTTTAAAATGTAAATATTATAAAAGAGTATTAACATTTGGCATTTAACACAATACACACCATTGTATCTAAACCAAAAAGAATACAGGATATCCAAAAGCAGTGGAAAAGGTTTAAGTAAAGTTTTTTAGATTAGGTTAGGTCTACATATGGCATTGCATTATGAGACTTGGTCTCAAATGCAATGTTGTATGTACTTTAATGTCATTTACAAATTTCTCACTGAACAGTAACTTTCCAGAATCCTGTATTATGAAGGGAAAAAAATGAGATCATTATTATTATTAATAATTCTAATAATACATTTAACATGAATTATTTTATAATGAATTTATAACTATAAGAATTAGGAAATTAATTTAGGTTATTTACATTCAAATTTTAATGTTTCAAACAATATTATTTCCAAAGTATGTTCAAAACTTGAATAATAATTAGCATATAGATGTATAATTAAAGATTTTGTATTGTTTTGCTAATTACTGTAAATAAAATTTCATCTTCCTGATTGATTTCTTAATCGTAAAAATATTTTTTTCTTATAATTTTATTGTTTCTGTAATTTGGATTTTTCATATTTTGTTCATCATTATTAAATTTTTTTTATTTCTATGTTTTTTCTTTTGCTTTGAATGAAGAATATATTAGTTCAAAACATTTCAAACCTTTTTATATGAATAATTTTTTTTAATTTTCACAAATATTCCATTGATTTGCTTTATTCATTATTCTTTAATTTCATTGAGATAGAGATCAGATATAGTTATCGTATATGGTAAATAGAGTATAAGTGAATTTTAACCATGATTATCTTAAAACGAAAATGTTAGAATTATAAGTAAATTTTTCTTGGCATAAAAAATTATTTTTAAAACATTTTTAGAACAATGACTTCCCAATCATTTAAAAATCTCATTACAAAATTATAGTTTTAATCTTAATAAGCATATTACTTTAATTTCAAAAGTATAATAAACTCATGAATAAAAGTAGTTACTGTTTTTGTGCATAAAACTTGTGACATATAACTCATAGAAAATTACTAGAACAAAAATAAGGCGTTCATATAACCCATGCCATTTATGCTTATGTAAGCAGCCATTGCTCCATAGGCCCAAGATTATAATTACAATTTATAATAAGTATATAAACTACGTTCCTTTTAAAATTGACTTTTTGTGCATGTAACTCAAAGGAGTTAAAAAATTAAATTATTTTTGTATTTAATTTCAACTTTTTCAAGCAATTTTTTTTATTTTATGCTATAAATAAACCACTTTTCAGTAAGTTTTTTTTATAATTTAAAAGTCTCAATTTCATGAAATAATTTTTTTTTAATATATGTGAAGTCTCGCATTGAAGATTCTAAGCAAACTAAACAATTTATAGTCTAATCATACAGTATATACTCCTTAAATAGAATGAAAATAAAATTCAGATGATTCATTTTCACTAATAACAAATATGATTCATTAAAAAATAATTATCTGTTGTTTTCTTTGTTACTTTTAGTAAAATTTTTTATTTTAATGTTTTTTGTAATAAATTTTAGATATTGATGAATGTGATGAATTGGATCAATTGTGTAAAGTTTATGAAGTTTGTGTCAACACTCAAGGAAGTTACAGTTGTTTACCATTAAATCTTGCAAAATGTCCACCAGGTTACAAATTAGAAGTGGGAGTTACTACAGAACAAAAATCATGTATAGGTAAATTTAATTAAAATAATCTTTTTTATCAATAATTTTTGTTAAACCAAAATGAAAGAAACATAAATTTCGTATTTTACATACTAATTCTTCATGATTTTTTAAAGCTATTTCTAGTCTTGTTTCAAGTTGGTCCAAGTTTTTCATCTATTCTATAAGTTGTATTAGATAAATTATCTTAGGAATTTTATTATAACCAAACAATCTTGATGGATTATTTTATATAAGATGTTAAAATTTAATCAGCTTGATGTCATTTAACCATATTTATTCTAATAATAAGCACCCTCAAATAAACAGTGTATCTTCAAGATGAAAAAAGTTATAAACCACATTCTCTCATAATAATTCATCTACTACCCTTTTTTCTATTATCTCATAAAATACAGTGGTTTTTGAGATTGCAAGATTGGGCTACAAGTAGCAGATTGAGATATTTGTAGTGCTCTGGACTACTACATTTGGGTGACTTACTACTTTCTGGGCCACTTTAAAAATAATTTGGGCTATATTTCGAGCAATTCTGCTTTACTTTTTATAAAAGCTATCTATCAACCTGTGAGGTTCTCACCGACACATGCTCTTTACCTATACATTATTATTATTATTAATTAATGAAAATAGTGTTCTTTATAAGTAGCCATAGCCGGTATTCCATTTGATGAATAAATTATATCAGTTACATGGCATTTGGCATGTCATACAGAAATATGTAAATCTCAGATAATTTGAAATTCAATAGTTCAAAGTCGTGATTATTTTGTCCTTTGAATTTCAAACTAATTAGGATTTCCAGTATAAATTGATTTAAAACTGTGAAAATTTTCACATCACAAAAGTATCCAGGTAGAAGAAATAAATAATGTTGAAACAAAATATTTTATGTATTTAAGAATAAGTTGGGCCTCCTTTTGCCTTGATGATAATTTCTAAACAACTAGGCATTGATTCATTCAAATTTTTATAATAGTCTTGTATATTAAATTCAAAACTCTGATGATGATGTTGTTTTTAAGATCAGTTTTGTTTGTTATTGATTCTGTTCTGATTGTTCATTCAATGTGATCTCTTATGGGAGCCAACTCACATCATACAACTCCAAATAGCACTAAACTGTCTCCACATTTTACCGTAGGAATCAGGTTTTTCATTTTTAAATATTCTCCAGCTTTTGTCTATACTTTTAGGGGACCATTTGAACCAAATGCATTGAATTTAGATCATCTGACCTCAAATTTGATTTTCAAAACGTTATTGATTTTGTATAAAACTCTTTTGCAAACTTTAATCTTTACTGCTTGTTCTTTTTGTTGACAAACAGTTTTTCTTAGCCAAAAAACCTTTATAGATACTTGCTTTTTAAAGTTTTTCTCACATTTTCTGCAGATGTATGTACTTTACACTCTACAGAAGCCTCAGCAGCAAACTTATTCATGGATTATTCAGCAATTATTCATGGATTTTTCTTCACTTTCTTGACAATGACACATTTCTGTCTCAAGGTAAACATTTCATGACATCCAGTTCAAGCTTTATTAACTACACTATTTGTTGTAAGGAATTTCTTAATGGTATCTTGAATTGTGGATTTTAGCAGGCAAAACTGTTCTACAAGATTCTGCACAGATTTTTCCCTTTTGCCATTACTTAATAATGAGTCCTTTAATAACAATGGTTAATTTTTTGTTTTCATTGTTCACAACGATAAAATAAAATAAGTCAGGTATGAAATAAATACTTTAACTCACTTGTTGAGACAAATTTTTGTAAGCACATTTTTAAGCAAATGATCTGATACACACTATCACTTATTTCCTCTGTCTGGATACTTTTGTAATGTGAAAATTTTCAGTTTTAAATAAAATTATATTTTTCTTTTTGTTCAATGTTTTTGTGCATGTAAATATATTTTTAGTGTAAAAAAGTGTGAAGATTTCAGATCTATCTTTATTTTTTCTTATTTCCTATCATAACAAAAAACTCTTACATTTTATATGTGTCTGGATACTTTTGTGATCTAGTGTAGTTGTATAGATACATATATTATTGGGAACTTTTTAATAAGTATTGTCAAGAATGTGTTTTTTAAAAATTTAATAATTAAACTGATAAGTCTTTATCTGCTTTATACATTATTTAAATAATTAATGTATAAAGCAGATAAAGACTTATCAGTTTAATTATTAAATTTTTTGTGTTTTCTCAAAAAATAAAAAAGTTAAGCACTACACAGAAAACCAATATTCAGCAGAAACTACAAGGATCTTTTAGCCTAACAATGAATGAAATGTTTGCTTTCCCTGTTGGATATTGGTGTTATGTGTAGCACTTTATTACATATAACCAGTTTGAGTCATTGAATCAGTGATTCTCAACCACTGTGCCATGGCACTTTAGTGTGCCATGAGATTTTTGAAGTGTGCTGCCACTGAGAATACCTATACATAAGTGATGTAAGACAAGTAGTTCAATTAGTTATACCTTCCTAGTGTGAATTTGGAAATTGTAACTGGTGTTACCAGTAACTGCCGGTAATTACCAAGGCATTTAGAAAATGTGACCTAAATAACCAACTGCATTTAAAAATCACTGTTATGAAGTCACCGGTTGTCTTGCAGTACTTACCGAAGTAACCATGCGTGCTGCCAAATTTTTAAATTATTAAAAGTGTACCATGATGAAAGAAAGGTTGAGAATCACTGCATTGAATCAATAAAAAAACTTTACTCTACAAATTAAACTAAAAATTAAATCAATGTATTTATTATTATAATTAATTTGTTAATATTAAATATTATAATTGTTATAACAGATGTTGATGAATGTGGTGAAAGTCTTCATTCATGTGATACTGAACATGAAAGATGTATTAATGCAATTGGAAGTTTCACATGTGAAAGTATTCAACATTGTCTTCCTGGATTTAGGGTTATTGAAAATCAAAATGAATGTATTGGTAAATATTGAAGTACAATAAGTTAAAATTATATTAATTATTTTAAAATATCAGTATATATTTTATTTTTAAAACTATAAATCTGTTTAATAGATATAAATGAATGTACTGAAGGTTTAAATAAATGTGATAAACTTCAAGAAGATTGTATTAATACAAATGGTAGCTATAACTGTGTTAAAAAAACAGAATCATACAATACACAATGTCCATTGGGTTATCGTATAAATCATACTGAAAAGAAATGTGAAGGTAGGTTTTAGTGTAAAAAATAAAGATTAATGTAAATTTATGATTCAGTTATATTTTTATAAATATCCATAGACATAAATGAATGTACAGAAATTGAGCCTTGTTTAAAAGATCAAGAAAATTGCATCAATGTTCCTGGTAGTTATCGTTGTCAATTGAAATGTGCACCAGGATACAAATATAATACATCATTTCATTCTTGTATTGGTAAGGTGGTAAACTATCTCAACAGTGTTCTCTAATAATTATGATTGATGTTAAATTTATTAATTTACTAAAACTGAAAATATATTTTCCAAAATTTAATTATGCTTAAAATTTTATTAAAATAGCATTCTTTATTATTTTATATATTTATGTATTTGTAATCTTTAAGTTTAAGAATAAAGCAACAAAGTTTTAAATTCAATTCATTTTAGCACTTAGAATTGATTGAGCAAAATAATTGATAAACTATTTAAATTTAAATTTTGCTTTCTGCTGTTGTTATACATATAAAATTGTAAATAATATTTAAGAAGACTTGATTATTTAACATTGACTTTTATATGCCAGATGTAATGAAGTTTCAAATTGACACAAAATAATTGTTTAAGTAAACTATATATCTGTCATTTAACATTACTTCTTCAGAATTTTTATATCAAAATAGCATTGAAAAGCAATTAAATAAAAAAGTTTACCTAATAATTTTACATTCAAACTTACAACTTAGATTTTAATTGTTCCACTAATTTCTTAGAATAAAACAATCAAAAACATTTGTGTGCAGGTTTCATTATAAGTTTTGTTTAACAATTAATATGAAAATAGCTTTTATTTGCATTTTATACTTGTTTACTTTTTTAGAAGTACAAATATAAATTAAGAAATATAAAGAAATACAAATATAAATTATTCTTTTAGTAATTATTATATAAGTTATACAGTAATATCTATTAACAGTTTCCCTAACTTGTTACTCAATACTCAAACATTCCATATATATTAAAATTGTAACTGTTTAACATATCATTATTTAAGTAGTATTGATTGAAATGAATGTGTCAGGATCTTTCTATTCTCTTTTAATTTAGCAAGAATTTCCCATTTCTTTGTTCATTTTAAGAGAATAGGTCTTGTGATGAGCTAGATACCTGTAATTCCAATCTTATCTTTACTGTATAATACTTGGCTAAAATTGTAAATTCATTACCAGATCTCTGGCCAATTTAAAGTTCATATCAGCTATTTAAAATTTTTTTACTACAAACAATTTTATAGGATTTTACCAAAATATAAAACAGCTTGTATTAGTGACAATAAAGACCAATTTAGTAGGAATATGAATTATTAAAACTGAAATTTAGAAAATATACATGATTTTAAATGTATGTTCAAAATTACATAAATATAACATTAATAAAACACGACATCCTAATACAACAAGAAATTTTTAATTAAATGAATGTTTTTGATCCATTCAAAAACATTTACAGTCGACTCCCCCTATAACACTGTTGATTATTCCATTTTATATGAATTTCATGTTGTACAAGTCATTTAGATTTTACAGATACGTGTGCCAAGCTGTGAACAGCTCATGTATTTGTAAAATCTAAGTGACTTGTACAACATGGAATTCATATAAAACAGGATTATCAACAGTGTTATGGGGGGTCGACTGTATTTAAATAAATATTTCTTTCTGTATTAGGATATGTTTTTTAATAGTAAATATAAGTAAATAAAAGAAAATTTTAGAATTTGGTATTATATTGTTGAATTTTTAATATATTGTTATCTGAAGTATATAGTTATTTAAAGAATTTATGTATATATCCATTAAAGGAGGCTATGTTATTTAATCAGGTAACTTTTCTCATGTAATTTTGACTTAGAGTGTATAAACAAAAAACAAGAATTAGGGAAAGTCATTATTTATCTGTAAAAGATAATTTTCTAACATACTTTATTCAATCAATTTCTTAAGCTGAAAATTTTTAAAGTATTTTTCAAAACTTTGAAACCTGTAAATTTAAAATATAATGACAACAGCATACTAACCTTAATAGTTTGATTTTATGATTTCATCTAATTAAATTATTTTCTTCCAATTAGAAAATATTTCCTTATCATCTGTTTAGTGCAAAACAAAAATGATTTTATAAAATAATATTGGAATTGTATATTTAAAAGTGTAATGTGTTGTCTTTCAATATTGATATATTGAAATATCTATTTCACAATATTATTATATATATTGTGAAGTATCTTTGTGTAAAAATGCCTCATATATAATATATGAATAACCATTTAAGAATTTTCATTATGTATTTTATAACTGAGCAGACTATAGTATTCTCTAGGAATCTTGTCATAATCATTGCCAAATAAAATGTGTATGATGCTGCTAACATAATTGTATATTTATGTGTTAAATAACATAGTTACTAAGGAGATGATAAAAACTATCTACTGTAAAAAAAGAATAGTTTGAGTAACAAATTTAAAAGTTAGAACATTGTAACTTTGATAATGGCATATAATTATAGCATTTATAACATTGTAACTGTTATGTATAAGTCATGTTTACAAAAGTTCTTGTGTGTGGCATCTCTGTAACAACCCTGTATTTCCATCTCCATCATATTGAACACACAGGCATCTCTTGCAATCATCTGTTAATGAATTCTGCAGGACTGGAAACTTCAGCTGACAGAAACTGTATCATTGCCTGTTGGTCTGCTATGGATGGATTTGGAATCTATTGCAGAATTTATAACCAAATAAAATTATGAATTTACTTTTACTACTACTACCACCTACAACAATTGTACTTCAAAATAGTCATTACACTCTATAATTTAATACAAATCCAAACAAGAAGCTAAATGAAGAAAATATATAATTAATATTACACCACTATTTCCATGTATAGATCATACATGGTGCAAACACAATGTATCAACAGGAACTTTTTGAATGTGTATTATATAATCCACTTTTATCATTATGACCTAAATAATATATAATGCTTTTTACAATTTTACAACTTAAACCTCTTATATAAGGAGAGATCAAAAAGGAACACACAGGAATTTTTTTTTCTTTTGCATATAATAGAACAGCTAAGAAAAATGTAAAATATATGCAAAGAAGCTAGCTGTTTTTCAACATCAGAACCATGTCTGTTGAGAATTTTTCCTATGGTGGCTCAAATTTTAGTATCCCTTGTTCATATAACTCCATTTTCTGGTTATATAGTCAACTGCTCATGACTGATTTTACTTTGTCATCTGATTTAAAGTGTTGCACATCCAGAAATTTTCTCACGGGTCTGAAGGGTCAGGTCTGCACTTTAGGGTGGATGTTGGAGCACCTCCCAGGCAAGTTGCTCAGTTTTGCTAGGAACAGCAGCTCAGCATGGGGATGATGAACATTGTTGTGAAACAGTCTGACATTAGTAGCACCTCTGTTGGGATATTTATTATGAAGGAAATGATGCAACTTTGTCAATGTTAATGTGCTATATCCCAGAAAATGGAGTTTTATGAACAAGGTATACTAAAACTGGTGCCTAGCTATTAAATAATTTGCAAAACTTTCATGAGCATTACTTTTTGATCTCTGTTTCTATTATCTCACAACATTCTACATATAGAATTGTTAGTAAACACTTATTCTTTTAGTAATTCTATCAAAAATATGTAATTTTAAATTAGAAACTTTCTTTAAAAAAAGATAATTATAATTTACTTACCTTTGACTCATGTTAAATAAGATAAGATATACAGGTAGTAATAATTATTTTTCGACGTGTATGTATAAAAATGTTATGAGCTTATGAGAAAACTTTTAACATGTATCAAAAAACAAACTGCTTTTCTGGAATTTCTTCAGAAAAAAATTCTTTTGGTGTATAATTTGAAACAGGAGTTGTTATATATGTTTTTAACATGCAATATTGTTACTAATTTTAATCATAAAGTCTATGGAAATGTATTTATTAGATTTTTATATTAATATTTAATTAATCATTTTTCTCTTTTTTCATTTTCAACAGGTGAATATAGAATTTTACTTAAATGTATCATTTTTATTGTTTATGTACTTTTGTTATATGTTGTGTGATGTTGCTTTGTCCTGGTCTAGATGTTGATGAATGTGCCGAAGCTAAAGACAGATGTGATAAAAATAGGGAAAAGTGTGTAAATACTCAAGGTGGATATCGATGTGATAGAAAAGATCCATGTTTATCTGGTTTTAAACTTGATAGAAATGGTGTAAATTGCATTGGTATGTTATTAGTATAACATACAGATCATTTTAAAATGTATTTTATGATTTTAGAATTATAATTTTTGTTAAAATATTTATTTATCTTCTACCTTTTTTTTATATAGATATTGATGAGTGTACAGAAGGTACTCATAATTGTAATACTGAAACTGAAACATGTTTCAATATTCCATCAAGTTTTCATTGCATTGTTAGATCTGAATGTGGAAATGGATATCAGAAAAATAGTTTTACAAATCAATGTGAAGGTACAAACTTTGTGTTGTAAACTAACTGCATTCTGTTTAACTTATTTAGTTTTAACTTTTTCAAAAAATTTAAATATTATCATAAAGAAACTCTGATTTCTTAAAATATAATCATTAAGAAAAGAAATTATTAGTAGTATTTATTTCTTTTTAATATTTTAAACAATAGAAAATGTTCTATGTATGTACATCAAAATCTAATGGAATTTACAGTCAACTTCAAAGTAACTTGATAAATATATATCAAACCTCAACACATATTTTAACTTGGAAATATGAATAATAAATAGAAAATGTTTTATATAGAGTAATAACTTAAAATACTAAAATTTTTAATGTTCTAGTACTTTCTAACATTAACTATTTGTCACCAAGAATACAGTTTTATTAGTATGGAAGTGAAGAATACAAATACAAAAATAGAACATATCTCTACACCAGTTACATTATTTTTATATTAAAGATAATAATGAATAATTATAAAAATTATTTTTGTAGATTTAACAAAAATAATAGTATTAACAAAATTAATTATATTGATATTTAGTCTTCCTAGTGCCTTATAATTGATTAACACACTAACTATTTCTATGTGATTGAAAGAGATTTTGTGCATCTTTCTTGTTGACTACAGACTTCAAAGTTTGTTTGACAAATATTTCTGTATTTGTAATAAGTAGATCACAGGAAAATACTTAATTGGAAACAACTTGATTATGTTGATTTAAGACTTTGAAGCCATAACATTGTGATCATTATGTTTTCATCTATTTTAACTTTCATTATATCAAAATGTATGCAGCTTTAAAATAATAGAAAAGTTTTTTTTAAAACCATTACTCATGTTAACAATTGTATGAGATAACATCTAATTAAATTATCATATTAAACCTTCAAAAAATGATTTTAAAAAAACGAGTAAAAATTCTTCATTAATTCACATTTAAAAACATATATAAAAACTTCATATTTTTATGAATATTCTTTAAGTTATTATTTATCTAATGTAAAACTTAAAAATGATTCAAAAAGGATAAAAGAAAGATAAATATGAATGATGTTATTTAATGAAAAAGACTCAATGCTAAGAATGGTCAAGTTGGGGCATATTGTTATTCTGTACATTCTTCTTTTTTAATATTAAGATGTTGTAAAGTACTATATTATTTTTCCGGAAAAAT